TCCCCCAAGAAAGCAACTCTGTCCTGGCCACTCCAGCCAATCCAGCCAACCCATGGTTTTCTACACTCTAGGTTCCTACAACTCACTTTGGATCATACTTTTGATGTTTAATTATCTGAATGCTAGTGCATTCTAACTGCTTTAAACTCTTCACAGCCAGTTGTCTCTAATTTCCCACTGAAATTTGTGAATCATTGTGTGCAACAGTCTGCTGACTGCCTGCCTTGGACTCAGACTGTGGGAAGAGAAGTAGGAAAGAAATCGCAGTCTGAGGCTGGTTTTGGAGCCCCTGCCCTAGACTCTCCTTTCCTTTACGTCTGCACACGGATGTTCACGCCTGTCTGCCGTTACATGCCATGTGGTGCTGGTCTGCTTCCTGAAGGTGATTTTGAACAGGAGTGTTCATACCTCGTGACTGATCAGGCCATACTGCCTTTTGTGGGCACAGGGAACTTTTCCCTGACTTTCTGTCTACCTGTCAACATGTTATTGATGTCTCTCCTGTGTTTTCATCCCTATTTTCCTCTCTCCAAGAGTCACAAAAGCTTCAGGCAAAACTCAGAAGGACCCAACATGTGGTAGAAAAAATTATGTGCAATCTATAGACTAAAGAAAATAACAACAAAAACACAACGGATGGGGCAATCGCTTGTCCTCCAAACTCGCCGGGAACAAAGAGGAGCCTGTTCACGGCTGGGAGCAGTGTGCAAGAGCTACAGGGAACGGCTACCAAGATTAATAGCTGGAAACTAGGAGCCCAGAAAGGAAATGTTTATGGGTTCATCTGGCCTGGAGGAAAGAGCTATAAAGTGCCTTGTGATCTTTAATGCATAAAGTGTTGTTGTAAGAGAAGACACCCACAGCGGGTGCTCAGTGAACCTTCATTTATGATGAGCCAGTAACCAGCTCTTCCCCCTCGCTCACAAGGGCTGCAGAGGAGGACACGGCCTTTTATGACAGCAGTTGGGACTCTGGTTAGGTATTAAAATGACCTTTTCTACAATAAGAGTTGTTAAAAAACTGCACTGTATTGCGGAGGGAGATTGTGAAATCTCCTTTCAGAGGCTCTCAAACCCAGCACGACCTGACAATCATCTGCAGTTATTTTATTTATTTAATTTATTTTTTGGGTCAAAGCTGGTGAGAAGGGCTAAGTGACCTTTCAAAGCCCCTTCGAACTTCAGACTTCAAAAAAGAGGTATTAACAAGTTCTTGTCTTCGTGAATTATAATCACCCCTGGTCATTTATAGTAACTGATGCCCCCTAAAGAGAAGGGCTGTTTACTTACTTCACCTTTCTTTCTTCACATGACTCTCATCTGAAAGACATATTAATGCCACTTACAAATGGAAATGTA